AGCTTATATATCGCTCACCTAAAAAAACTAATTACATATTTACATTAACATAAAAAAAATTTATAACTTATTCTTCAGAACTCGGACTTCCATCTGTGGTTGCATTCATGTAATGCTCCGATTCGAGTTGGTACGATGACTCTTGAGCTCGACGTCTTGCCAAGAGCCAATCTTGGTTGCAAACTAGTGTTTCAAGAGATTCAGCGCTAAGACAACTTCGGTAGTCGGTTAGAATGTTGCCGCTAGCACTGAATTCTCGTTCAACTGCTACGGTTGATACCGGGACGGATAACACTTGTCTTGCTAGCATGCTGAGACATGGGAACATGTGTTCGTTCCGCTTCCACCATCCGAGCACGTCAAAATCCACGTCGTTGTCATCGTAATTGCATGGCACACCCTGGTACATAGCAAGTTCGTTGTGCGAGCTTACTATTGTACCACTACTTGAACTCGTCGAAGACTGAGCACGTTTCCCTTTCTTTGCAAGAAGGCCACCGACTATTCCGGCAAAACCTTTTTTTGATTTCGGGGGCGGAGGTGGTGCTGTTTCTTCTTGTACAGTACCGTATAACCCTTGATATTCCTTAAACAAATTCTCAAAAAAAGTTATAGCATTATCTCTTTCTTTTTCCATTCTACTAAATGGCTGTAGTAATAATTATTTTCATCTAAAAAACAACTATATTAATACTCAATTAAAATTTTAAAATTTTCAATCTTAAAGCGTGGATCACAAATAATACCTATTTTATAAATATCAGGAATGTACAAATAATAAGGGTACAAATCTTCATCAGCCGTATGTCACGAAAACATGTTGCGATTGTAACGCACTCTTTAAAAAATGTATTTGTAGTTGGTTGATAAACATGAGAAAAGTAAGAGTTGCGTTATTAAAAACTTCTAATACGGCATTCAATTTTTCAACAATAACAAATTCAAAAGGATTAATGATTATACGAAGTTCATCCCTAAAAAATTCAGCAAGTTCCTCTTTATATCTTAGAATCTGATGAATCAATTTGTAAGTACTATTCCATCTAATGTTGATATCTTTGGCAAAAATTATTTCTTTTTTACCTTAGACTTACAGAACATCTTCCAGGACCTCGAAACAAGATGAGCCCCCCAAATTCTTTTAATTCCTTCTTTAATATTCGTCAAAACTCCGCCCATAGCTTCTAGTCCCTGTTGAACACATAAATTTAAAACATGACAGGCACACCGTTGATGCAGAAATCTACCCATAGTCGTAGACGGTGGGCAAATTTCTCTAAGTCTAGGAATAGCTGCAGTATTATTAGTAGCATTATAAAAACCAAATGAAAACACTTTTTCAGATAAGTTGTATTCCCGCAGAATACTCTGAAGCAATAGGAAAATATTTTCAGCAGTATGTTGATCATTGAAATCACGAAATGCAAGAACATGTTTATGCATAATCCAATCACTATCTATCCAATGACAAGTAACACCCATATAAGACAAATTATGATAAGTTTCACCCCAAATATCAGAACAAATAGCAACACGAGAATTAAAATTGAGAAAAAAATTTGCCAAATTAATTTTTTCAATTTTATACTGGCGAATTATTTCTCGTTTAATTGTTTTTCTTGAAAACCTCGTGCTTGAGGGTTTAATGCTTGTTGACAATAATAAAAAAAATCCAAGTTTTTCAGAAAACATGTATGGCAAATTTTCTTCACAAATCATTTCGGCTATTTTTTGCTTATTTTGCTCGTCGCTATAGGCAAAAAGGCCGCCCTTACCTCTCTTAGCAAACCGAGAAATTTGGGTTTGCACTTCTTGTCGTCCCTTCTTTTTCGCCACGTATTTGGCGTACTCCACGGGATGCCTCGACCTAAGGTGTTTTTCCAGACCACCATAACCGCCGGAAACTCCCATTTTTATAACGGTCCCACAATGTTTACAAGTTCCATAAACTACACGATCTTTTGTGTCTTTGTCAAAATGATAAATAAATAAATCTGATTTTAATTTCTTTTTACCTTTGTCCGGAGCTCGAGAGGTCTCGGGCTCACCTGTCTCCACGTCGACGTTGTTGCTTTGCGGTGTAGGCTCATCGTCCCCGTCCAGATTATCCAGTCCTGCTTCATCAACATCCTCGAATAGACTATCAAGAGTGGGGAGATTCGCGTCCCCTCTACCAGAATAAATCTGGTTGAATTCTTCATCCGTCATACCGTCCCCGATTAAATGATCTGGGACAGTAGGAAAGGAAGAGACGGAGTGTCTTCCTCGAGAACCGCGTGAGGTCGAACCGTCGGAGGTGGCTTTACCTTTGCCTCTCCTTAAACTTCGGTTAATGACGCCCATATCCACGGACCTTCTACCGGACTCTCTCGACATTTTAATATATATTTTTTGATATAAAAAAATAATATATTAAACTTCAAAAATTTAAATAAAATTCGAAATTTTATATATTAAAATTTTGAAAATTTCAAAAAATAATAGAGAATATATTTAAAATATAAATTATATATTTTTTGATATTAAAGAAATATTAAATTTTGAAAATTTCAAATAATTTCAAAATTTTATATATTAAAATATAATATATTTAAAAAAGAATGTATAAAAGAGATAATAATATATTAAGATTGAGAAATTAAAAATTTGAGATTTGAGAATTGAGAGATTGTTAAGAATGATTGAATGAATGAATGATAGATTGAGAGATTGAGAGATGGATTGAGTTGAATGTGATTTTTTAAGGAGAAAAATTAGGTATTTGTAAAAATTTTAACCCCCCTCCCCTCCCCACCCTCCCCCTGGCCCCTCCCCTCTCAATTCTCAAATGGCAAAATAGCCGTTTAGGCCCCCCCCAACTGACTTTTTTTGCAGGTTGGTGCAGGTTTCCGTTGGAGAGCAAAAGAGGAACAAAAAAAAAAAATATTAAACCGGAACCGGTAACGAAATTGGGGCACCGGAACCGGGACCGGATGTGGCGGTAACAGTACCAGTTCTCGGAAACGTTTCGCCGTCCCGGTCGACGTTACGGTGCTCGGTACCGGCGGTACCGTTCCCGGTGACGGTACCGCACCGGTACCGTGTCCAGCCCTAATATAGAGTGTCATATTATAACAGTGCAAACTCCTATTTTAGAGATAAAAACATGAAACTTCTATTTTGGTACTTAGTCTATGTTTTACTCTTATTTAAGGTAATTTCTTACTCCCTCCGTCTCATGAAACATGAGATGTTTTGCTTTTTGAAGAGATTTAAGGAAGTTTATTTTGGTATTGAATTTCCAAAAATGTCCTTTGATGTGATGGGTAAAAGTAGGATTTGATGGGTAGATTATTAGTAAAAAGGTATGATGTGATAGGTAGGGTATGAAAAAGTAAGGGGTAAAAGTGACTTTTTAATAGAAATGAGAAGTGTTTTATGGAACGGATGAAAAAAGAAAGGAGAAAGGTTTTATGGGACGGAGGGAGTACATTTTAACTCATATTAATTATAAACTTAATAAACTAAACCTAAGAGTATAAACGCCAATGACTAATCCTAATACGGAGTTACACTAACATTTAAAATTGATATGCGTAATTTACATATTTATATTAAAAAATTTTGATGCTATAATGAAAATGAAAGTACTATATGAAAAACTCAATTACTCTGTAATTGATGTTTACATGCAAAGGCTTTGGGAGTATTTGAAATCTCCTAGATATTTGTTGGACATTCGAGACATATTTTTTTACGCAAGAGTGAACCGAATCGATTTTTATCCTTCTGTTCGGTTTTCGTTTTTTATAAAAACCAAACCCTGCATATTATAATTGCTTCACCGAGTTAGTATTATTATAACTTTCTTAATGCCTATAAATTTTTATTTTTAAACATCGAAAAAGCTAAAGAAAAAAACTAAAATAAAAACCGTATAAATTTGAACCGAATAACCAATAGCTTACATATTTCTTGGTACAAAACCGAACTAAACCGCCAATTTACTTTTCGTTTTGTCTTTGGTTTTGGAATAAAAACGAACCGTCAAAACCGAATCCACCCTTAGGGTTTTTTCAATGGGAAAAAGACTAAAGTATGAATAAAACATTAAAAATATACCAAAATAGGACATTTATGTTTTTATTCTCGAAATAGGAATTAAAATGCATTTACACTATTACTCATGATTATGTACATTACCAAAAAGTATAATAATATGCCATGTAGATTGCCACATTACCACAATGCCAACTCTTATTTAGGATTCCTCGGATGCGTAGGCATCCGAGGAAGAAATACCTTGACTATCAGAAGAAGACATTGACCGGGAATGAAAACTAAGAGCTAATAAAGAAGCGAAGAGAGCTTACTTGGCTCGGAGGGCTGAGAGGCGAGAGAGAGGAGATTGATTGGTGAGACTCGGGAGACGCGCGAGGAAGAAGTGAGGAAGGCAGTGGGGATGGAAGCCTTTATATAGGCGAGGAGGAAGGGGAAGGAGGCGACGTGGCTTCACCAGGGTGCGCCGCGTCAGGCGGCGCCATCATTGCGCCTGGGAAGACGAAAGGGCGCAGGTCTGACGAGCAGGCCAAAAATTCGAATTTAAAGGTCCAGTTTTAAATTTTTACTTCCCGCTTATGACAAAATCGCATAACCGAGAAGTGGAAGGCTTAATGATGGGTGTATTTCATCCATGACCGATCAGAGATCAGAGCCAGATAGTTGACCGGTCAAAAAGGTCAAACTTGAGAGAAAGGTCCATATCGGCGGCAAAGAGACGACGGATTTAAATTGAGATGAAGAAAGTAATGTTTTAAATAAATAAAATAATATTTAAAAATATTTTATATGATAATGAATTTTATAAAAGTATTCGTGTATAAATTTAAAATATAAATTTTATTTATTCAATAATCAAAGTTTATCAATTTTAATCACATAAAAATTAAAACAAATATTGTCAAAAGGGGTATTAATAATAGCGCAGCACACCAGTCAAAAAAGCTAAGAGCCTAAGACAACCCGCGCCAGGCTATCAGCTACTCCCCAGTAAATTTTGCACCAAAATTTAAGGATGAAACTCCACTGCGTCGGTAAACGGTCGTCGTCCCCCTTCCATCTCACCCCATATTTTATCAGGTAAATCCCGGCCCCGGCGACATTGCCGACGTCGATCTCCGGCGAACAGAAGCGGTGATCGGATCATCAATCCATTAACAGGTACCTTCTCTTTCATTTCCAGATCTGCAATCCCTTTACGCCTTGTATTCTGGCTCACAGGTGCATATACATTCATATTTAGACGTTGATTTTCCTTCAATATCGAATCCAGCAGGATATTTTTCTTCTAGGTATAGAATTAAGATTGAGAGGTTGAGAAATGAATTCGAATTACGGGAAGTGGAATGCCAAATCGGGTTCTATGAACAATTCCGAGTTGGATATTGGGCTGGGCTCCGGGCGTTCCCGATCTCTCAATGAGCAAAAGAATCAGACCTCGTCCTATTCGTCTTCTTCGCATACAAGGCCTCATTCGACTGCATCTTGGACCCACCAGGGGAACAATAACAAGTCGTCCTGGACTCACCAGCCTGTTGGATCATTGTCTGGACCGAGGTCATTGGTTGGGGATATCTCTGGGAAGAGTTGGGGGTCTTTGCCCCCTGCAAATGCTGCCAATGTTTCGTGTGGCGTGGGTTTGGTGAACAAGGATCCTAATTTGTTTGGTGACTTGTTGAACTCGGCGTTTGGTAACAAGGGCGGTAGCAATGTGCCCCTGAAGAGTTCTGCGTCTTCTCTGAATAAGAATTCGTTTTCAATGGGGGGTGTGGCGGAGTCCTTGCCAAAAACAAGTAGCACTATCAAGAGCGGTGGAATTTGGGGATCTAACCAGAATTTTGGAAGCTCTAGCAGTAGTGGATATAATACTAATGTTGGTAGTGGCAATGTGAATGCGCGTGGTGCAAATATTACAAGTTCTGGGCTTGGAGGGCCACCAATGAGTAGTAAGGTTGGGGGCAGCGGTGGAATGGGAGCAAAGGACCCGTTTAGTACTTTGGTTGATTTTGGCTCAAAGCCAACTCCCGGTGTGAGCTCGGGGAGTCATGTGGATGATGCATTCGGAGATTTTCAAAATGGTTCAAAGTCTCCGTTGCCATTCTCGTCAAATACTTTCCCCTCTAGTAACACTGCTTCAGCTCCATCTAGCGCAAACACTTCTCATATGAAGGTGGATGACTATGGATTTTCTAATACCCAGAGTACGACATCTGCGCAGCCGACCACGGGTGGTATGGATTTTGATTCTCTTTTCCAGTCATCTACGACCTCGTTTGAGGAATCTCCTGGGGAGAGCCAGCCTTTTTCAGGGGGTAATGATTGGGGCTTCGAGTCTGAGTTTGGAGGAAATGATTCTGGTGGGACAACCGAGCTTGAAGGGCTTCCACCGCCACCTTCTGGCCTTAGTGCTTCAACTGCAAAGAGCAAGGGCATGGATAATTATAAGCAAGGACAATATGCCGATGCTATAAAATGGTTATCATGGGCTTTCATTCTTCTGCAGAATGCAAGTGATATAGCTGGGACTGAAGAAGTGTTGTCGTGTAGGGCTTCATGTTACAAAGAAGTTGGAGAATACAAGAAGGCTGTGGTTGACTGTACAAAGGTATATGTCTCTCTTTTACCCTGCTCAAATTTTGCGGTTTTTCATTGTATCATGTTATTCATTTATTTACTACTATCTCCGCCCCAAATTAGACTTCCTGTTTGTTTTTTTCACGTAGTTTAAGAGAAAATGTGAAACTGTTTGGTTGAAATTTATGCTCAGGAGAGAAAATGTGGAGTATTAATTTTTGTTTTTAAATTAAGATCAATATTTGGTTGATTAACAAACATTACCCCCAACCCCTCGTCTCTCCCTTCCAAAGTGTTGCTCTCGTCCATTGTCATATGTCCACGAACATTTAGAATTGTAGATAATAATCTCACAATCCAAGCTTACATAATTTTTAACCAACACCATTAATATTTTCTGACTCAAATCCATTCTTATTTCACATGATTCATATGAGTATATTTTCTGATATGTGCCATTAAGTATGGTAAATCTCTATGAATGCTGAACTTATTTCCCTGTGGTGATATTTTTTACCCTCTGTTGGTCTTTTCATTGTTGTACACTTGCACCGTTGGACGGGTACCCCCCCCCCCCATCCACCCCCACCTGAACAATGCAGCAAATATTTACCTGCATGCCACCAAGAGTGAATAATAGCCTTTCTTCTACACATCTCATGCCTTCATCCACCATAGCTGCTAAATGCATAATAGCCTTTCTGTATTCTTGTGTGCAGGTGCTAGAACGTGATGGAACAAATGTATCTGTCCTTGTACAGCGAGCCCTATTGTATGAAAGTATGGAGAAGTACAAGCTTGGAGCTGAAGACTTGAGAACTGTTATGAAACTCGACCCAGGTAACAGACTTGCGAGGAGTACCATTCATCGCTTGGCTAAGATGGCGGCGGCTGACTAGAGAAGCTTCACAGAATTACTCCACAGCTATCCCTTTTGTTTACAGATATATCTGCTGATATACTGTATATTATTTCCTTCTTGCATCATAGTAATTTTTCTCTATTCTTCTTCTGTGTGTGTTTTTACCTGTATTTTTTTACAGACAATTTCTCTTATTGCAAACTGTTCTATCTTCATTGGTACAAAGTGCTTGGAGATCTCTCATTCTCATACATACTTGTGAACTTTCTCTATGTGAATTAATGTTATTCACAATTACCAATGCATTGTAACTGTGGGTTTGGTTATAGTCATGTGATAGCTTCAATAATGTACTAATAGCTTGTTCTCAATTCATACTTATTCTTGAATCTGAAAAATTTTAAATATAAATACAATTAGATCAAATCAAATCAAAAATAATTTTTAATATAATTATAATTAGATAAAATCAGAGTTTAATCCAATCAAACCAGAACCAAGAATATTAGGTGAAGAGAACAAGCCTAACTCCTTTGTCCCATGGAGAACCTCTCAAGACAATTCATCTAGTGGTAAAAACAAGACAGACAATTGAGATGAAGTTCATGTTTTTCTCAATTTATTTCTATTGGGATCACATCACAAATAGTTTTAATAATAACTGTAATTAGATTAAATAAGATCATAATCTATTCTAATTAGATCAAAATCAATCAAATCAGGTGAAAAGAACATGACTCAGGTCTATCTGAACGAGTTTGGCATGAATTCCTTTGCTAGCTAACTTCAAAAATGGTTTTATCAAATTGTGCTTCAGTTACACACTTAACCAGCAACAATAATAAGGATCATTCTTGGTACACATCACATTTGACAATAAAGAAAGATTTTGCAGCTACATTGAATTATTCACAAACAACTTACATACAAAATTTGGATGTAAAATTCTTATTTGGTGTAAAAAATGGTGTGCCATGTTTAATTGACATAATCACGTGTCATTAATTTTTTTATTGATTTAACTCATGCAATCAACTTGGTTAAGTATCGTTCAAAAAAGAAGAAGAAGAAGAAGAACTTGGTTAAGTAACACATCCTCTTTGAATGTTGTATTTACTCCTATTTTGGTTTATTTAGTTCTTTTGCAAAAATACAAGGAATCTAACACGAGTGCTTCCAGGAATGACAATCACAGATAATTTATACATAAATAGATGATAACCATCTATATTTATTGATGATTATCTTTTGTGCATGTATAAATAATTTGTAATTATTATCCGTGGGGGCACTCGTGGTGGGTTCCTAGCATGATCCTAGTTTTGGGTGAAAACTACAAGCGCTCACAAGAAAACTATGCGAGTAGGGGTGAGCGCGGCATGTGACGGTCCATGATACTATCAAAACTTTTCAAAGACCTCTCATATTTAAATGGTTCGGTATTTGTACGGAATGAACCACAAAATCATTTAGTACCATTCTATTTTAAAATAAAATGATACAATATTTTATTCATACTCAAATCGTGCCAAAAAATTAAACATGCATTAATCAGATAATATTAAAAATGAAAATATAATTTTGTATAAAAACACAAGTTTGTTTAAACAAATATTGATTTCGAATAGAAAAGAATCACTAGCATAAAGAATAAATGATAATGATTCTTAGTTTTAAAAATATATATATTTTTCCAATTCATACAATATCACACTATGAATCATCTCAAAAAATAATGGTCATAGTGTCATAGTAGTAATAAATAAAATAACAACAATAATAATGAGGGAAAAAAGACTAAAATAAAAGCAAAACATTAAAAATATATCAAAATAAGAGTTTTATGTTTTTTGAAATAGAAGTTAAAATGCATATACAGTGTCAATCATGACTATATATATTATAAAAAAATATTATGAAATATCCATACACAGTGTCACATACTTATAATGCAAACTCCTATTTTTGAGGATAAAAACATAGATAATTTATTTTGGTACTTTATCTATATTTTACTCCTATTTAGAGTGATTTTTTTAATAATAAAAGAATATTTAAAAAATAATACAATGCGAAGTACTCCATAATTCCAAATATGGGCATATGGTACCAAGCAAACAAATATACTCCCTCCGTCCCAAAATATTTGCAACGTTTGCTTTTTCAGCAGTCGCGAGAACTTTTGTTTATTTATACGTTTCCATTGGTTATTTGATAAAATAAAATATTCTTGACACCTCTTATTTTGAAGAACTTTTCATGTAGTTTTTTGCTATGTAAATTTTATTTTTTATTTTCATGCCAATATGTAAATAAAATGAATTGAAAAAACTTGATATTTTGCCTCGGGAATACAAATGTGGCAAATATTTAGGGACGTAGGGAGTACTTCGTAAGTATTTGAGATACTCTCCAAAAAAACTTTGAAGGATTCGGCCCGTGATAATCTTTTGTTTTGGTTTGAGACTCACAAAATCACCTATTTAAACTCGTTAATTATTTTGCAATTTTCCCTATCCAATTTTCCTTTTTTTTTTTTTGGTTGTTTTTATAATGGTATTTACGAAACACTTATTTTTTCTGGAAATAACATTAGAGATTAGCCTTAGCGTTTAAAATAAAATTTTCAGATTACTTTAAAAAAAAGCTAACAATTTTCAGATTACATTTATAATATATTAGTCTTTTCAAAAATGTAGTCTTTGTTATGCTAATAGCTAAGCTATTCCCGACCCAAATCATAGGAATCTGTGTGCGTGTGAGTGAGAGCACTCTGAGCAGCTCTGGGAGAAGGGAATCTGGCCAACAGCTTCGCCGGAGGAGGCGCCTTAGAACATCGGGAATCGACGCTCCGATAGTCCGACTCTGGTCGGTGAGTGAGTTTACTCTAAGACCGTTTTCCGAATGCTTTGATTCCATTCTGGAAGAGGTTTGGGGGAGAACGGTGTTGCGTTTGCAAACAAGGGACGGAGTTTGCACACAGGATTACCGCCGATGGGGGTGGGGAAGGATGTCCGTCCGGCCGCCGCTAGGGAGGCTGTCGCAGGGACGGTCGCCGCAAGACGACTGTATGAATTTATCACGACAAAACTTTACACAAGGGTTATTTTTGGGTGTTGACAAAAAGGGGTCTTTTATTTGGTTAATCACCCTATATTTCCCACGTTTTCTCAAATGATAAATTGTTTTAAAATTTGTACTCCACATTTTGTATTCCAAGGGTTTGCCCCTACATGTGACATGAAAGTGGTATTATACACTTACATTTTATGTCAGGGTAAACCTTTTGGGTATAAAATGGGGTACAAAGTGGGGTGGGAGTAGAACAACCCTAAATTGTTTTTTATGTTAAAACCTTTCTGATACTCAGTACTTCCCTTTTTTGGAAAATTTTGAGGCATTGGGATTTTTTAAAAAAGGTTCTCTCTTTTGGGGAGATGATTAAGTATGACCAATGGGTCATTTTCACTTGGGGTTCTTTTTTCTGTGATTTCTTCTCCTGGAACAATTTCATTTTCTTGCATTTTGAAACCGAGTGTATTTAAGATTAAAAAAAAAACATTCTTGTAGCGTATGTCACCCATTATGAGTTACTTCTCTGTTTTGAAGATGATAGTTTGCTTGTGTGGAATTCTAAAGGATCCTACACATGGATATGAACGTGAAATTGAACACGGGATCATAGATTCCAAAACAGTTTAAAATCTGATTTTAATTCATTCTCTTTGTGCCACACGTTTTCAATCATATCCCAATGTAATTGGGCTTACTCATAAACCATTTTGGAGCATCTTCCTTTAGCATTATATTTCTTTTTGAAGGACACAATAAAAGTTAAATTTCCTAAGCAATACATTTTTATCACTGCCTTATGTGATTGTACATACTTGTAACCCTTTTATGCGTCTGGATTACTCAATAGGCATATTTGTGTCTTTTTGAGGTGTACAAATGCAGGTCATGGGCTAATTAATGCAATTGGACTCTCAAATTTCCTTGTTTCAGTTTACAGCATTTTATGTACATTTGAGGTGTGAAAAAGAGGTCACTTTGCCAACAAGTGCAATTTTCTCATTGATTAACTGAATGTGACATTCTGATAACATTTTTTCAGTTTACGTCTTAGGCTTATAGGTAGTTTTTTAGACATACAAAAAACGTTGATTTGCCAAGGAACATACATATATATATATACACACACACACACACATATATACATACATACATACATATACATACATATATATATATATATATATATATATATATATATATTGCTTTAACAATTTGTTTGAATAAAATCAAATGTTTCAGAAATTAGCACTCCAATTTTGCACATCTTGGCTTTAAATCTATGCTCAAAGTGTTGGCATGTTCTAATTCATGTATTACGTAGGGTCTTTTGTTTTCTTTGTGGTTTGTCAACTTTCAACTTTCAAGAATTTTAGATGTTTCCTCTCTAAGTTTTCCATTGTTATTGTTATCCATCAAATTTCTGTGATTTGTTTCCAGAATGAATGAGCTATATTTGTGGGCAAGTTTGTTTTCTGGTGTATGCAACAATGAAATAAAATCATAGCGTATTTTATGCTGCAGGCTGAAAGTTTCTTTTGGAGAAATGATATTTAATTAGCACTGTGGCACAATTCACAATTGACGGTTGAATGAACAATTCTTTGTTTAATCAGCACTGGACTGCGGCACTACTCACAAATGACTGCTGAGAGGGAATGAGCTATTTTCCAAGCATTGGAATTGGGTCCCTGGCTGCCTAAAGTAAACAGTTGATCTTAATCAACAACATTGCTTTTTGATTTGATTGCTTTGGGTTAGAATTGAGCCAAAATTTCACCTTTAGTTTGTATATAGTAGATGTCCAGCATCATCTCCAGAAATCTATTAACAATCCTTCACCGTCGAGGTGGCAACTCAGCTGAAATCTTAAAGTTCTCTCCTCACCCCACATGCTCTTCTCCCTTCCGGATTGCTGTGGCTGCTTTCTCCACTGTCTCCCAAAACCAGCCTCCCGGTGTGTGTGCAGTCAATGTTGGTTAGCTTTCGATTAAAGGATCTTAGCTTTAATCGTTTTATTGAGCTATTAACATTGAGTTTGCATTTGTTGATGTGCTGACCAGAAAATGACAAGCGGTCATCATGGTCCAATGTGTTCCTTTTCATACCAGGAGCTATCACATTTGGCCTTGGCACTTGGCAGATCTTGCGAAGAAAAGAAAAGGTCAGTTTGGTTTCTTGCCTCTCTATTTAATGAATTTTATTGTCATAATCTATGGATTTAGTTGTCTACTTTCGTGTTTTTGATTTTCCGGAATTAGTTTCTGATTTTCCATGTTCAATAACTAAATTATTATTAAGGTGCTTAATATATCCTAGAGATAGAGAACAATTCTTATTTCCAAATATCATTTTTGTGTGACAAATTTTCTTCATCTACAATAAATTTCTCTTTTTATTTACACCACTTTTTAAAACCTTTCTTTGAAATGAAATTGGAAACTCATATAACTTTTTTTTGCTTCGGTATCAGATAGATTCATTTTCAGATCTATAAAAGGTTGACAAGTTCTTTCCAAATTGACTATTTGTATCTTCTATCTTGTTTGCATCGCTCTGGTCAGTCTTGATATAAGCCTTTAAATATCTTCTTGAGTTAGAGCAGTGTTGACATGAACGAGTGACAAACGCATTTGAAGAACGTATTTAACATTTTCAACACATTACTTAAAAATGAGATCTTTTTAGAAATGGGACAACTAAATCTAGACGGAGAGAGCATACTTTAGGGTAATTTCCTACTCCTTCCATCCAAATTTACCGTGCATGTTTTAATCTTTGGTCCGTTCCAAATTATTGTTGCTGTTTCTATTTGTAGAAAGTGCATTGTAGTTCACCGTGTTTGTCTCTCACTATTCATCATAATGACATAGTTTTTATTTTTTTAAACTTCCTGCCAATTCAAACTGGGCACAACAACTGCATGTGTACACAAGGAACAATTTGATTTTTTGTTTTTATGGGTATAATTTCCATTCTTACAGGTTGAAATACTCGAGTACATGCAAAATAGGCTAGGAATGGACCCTTTAAAATGCAATGAGTTATCACTCTCAAGTGAAGATTTGAATGGTCTAGAGTTAAGGAAGGTTCTATGTAGAGGGGCTTTTGATGAGATGAAGTCGGTTTATGTGGGGCCTCGTTCCAGAAGCATTTCTGGGGTGATAGAAAACGGCTACTACGTTATTACTCCTCTCCAGCCAGTCTCTGATGACCCAAAGGACAGGTAGTGTTGAACATATTGACTATTGATTTTCCATTCTTTTTCTGGTAGCTGTCAATCTACATTTCTTGTTGCATCTATTGCCGAAATTTCCAAGTGTCAGCTGCGTTGTTAGTTACCTCCGCTTGGTTGCACATAAATCGCACAAATGTTCCTTCTTTGTTATTTGATTAACTTTTTCTTTTGCTATGGTAAAAAAAGCAGTAATGAAAATGGGTCAAAATGAAAAATCATTGGATTACTAGTCCAATATCTGTAGTCATGCAACAGTAATTTTTGTAATCGTTTCTTGACTTATCAATCATATGATTTCATGAAGAGTAAATTCCATAAATGGTCGCTTCTAACAAAGCATTTTCAACATATAGTCCCTAATTCTGAAAAATACAGTAATGGGCCTTTATGTTCGAGAATTATTCCATAATCAGTCTTTTGAACCAAATATTGTTTTCCATAAATATTCCTCAAAGGACTGAATGACTAATTATGGAATAGTTCTCAAGTATTGAGGACCCTGAATGTAAAAAATTGAGGGCTATACATGGAAAACACTTTGTTATAAGGGACCGTTTATGGAATTTACTCTTTCATGAATCTAGTCTAAAATTGATCTTTGTCCTTTCCGTTACAAAAAATGAAATTTGGAAACCATAAAGCCTTGAACTACAACTAAGTGATGTAATATATGACATTGTATTATTTTATTTGGGCTCGGTTCTTTTGACACCAACTTTGGTGTCATATAAATATACCAGGTTATTTGGGGTCCTACCGAGCCCCGTTAGGCCTGGAGGTATGATGTTGCTTGCCCTGGGTAGGGACCAGTTTCAGGGAAACAAAGCACCTTAGGGCCTGAAAATCACATTGGTGTCATGGTGTCAAAACAATCAAGCGATTTTAGTATATCCTTATCTTTGTACTCACTCCCAATAGAGTATTTGCAGTCAAATTGAATTAAATAAAAATTGCATTGCATCTTTTCATTTGAATACAATGAAAAACTTTAATTTTTTTGCATGATGAATTTACTAAAATAATTCGTGTGCTAATATATAAAAAAAAGTTTGTATTTAATTGCTAATGAAAGTAATTCCAATTTTTGATTGGGAAAAGTCAAACTGGACAAAAACTTTAGAATGGAGGAAGTATATCTCTATCTATATCTAAGTGAATTGTAAAACTTGAATCTTTTTTAACAGCACCAGGTCACCAATTCTCGTTAATAGAGGATGGGTCCCGCTCAGTTGGAGAGACAAGTATTTGGAAATGTCAAAAGATGAGATGCAACCACTTAGTTTACTGGCACCCTCAGCTTTAGAACATGAAAAATATTCGTGGTGGAGAATTTGGTCAAAGAAACTCAAGTATTCCGAGGTTATTTTTCTCTTGCATATGTCTGTCAACCTTAGTAATACCGATGTACGGAGTATATTTATATGAACGCAAGAGTGCTTTATGTTGTACAAACAGGGAAACGTTAAATCTGTTATATCCCCTATAGAAGTTGTTGGTGTTATAAGAGGAAGTGAAAAGCCTAGCATTTTTGTTCCGGAAAATGATCCAAACTCCAACCAGTGGTTTTATGTTGACACTCCTGCAATTGCCCGTGCTTGTGGACTTCCAGAAAACACTCTCTACATTGAAGCCATCAATGATAATGTTGATCCCAGCAGTCCATACCCTCTTCCGAAGGATCTTAATACATTACTTTGCAGTTCCGTAATGCCTCAAGACCATCTTAACTACACACTGACATGGTATTCCCTCTATTTCCTTATTCAAATAGGGTGTGCCTAACTATTGTTATTATATTTATTACTCTTATTATTATTATTAATATTATTATTACAATTATTATCATTCTTACTAATATTATAATTACTATTACTATTATTATTAATATTTCTATTATTACTATTATTATTATTACTATCATTATTATTCTATTATATTATTATTGCTTTTATTATCAATATTTCTATTATTATTATTATTATTTCTATTATTATTATTACTACTATTATTAGTATTATTATTATAGTTATTATTATTATTATTACTTTTATCATTACTACTATTAGTATTATTGTTACTATTATTAATATTTCTATTGTTATTATTATAGCTATTATTATAACTATTATAATAAAATTTTAGTTTTAATTTTAATTTTAAAAATATTCATATCAGATTAGATTTAATCAAATCAGATTAGATCCAATTAGGTACGATCAGATTCAATCATATCAGATTAGATCAAAATTTCAAAAAATCAGATCAGATCAGATCAGACGAACGGAACGCAGCCAAAGTTTCCTTGACATTGGGAACTTGCAACACAGCACAACCCCCAATTGCCGTTGTTGACTATTGGTACACCATCACACTCCATTATTACGCACTATTAACACTGTTATATTGTTAATCACACTACCGAACTTTTATTTAAAAAATAAAAACAACAAAACTCATATTCTTGTATTCTGATATCATTTTACTTCTATCAAGGGACATTTATATAGACCGACTCAATTAAAATGACATTATAACTCTACCTAGAATAAGGTTCTTACAGTATTTCATCCGAAAAATTGATAACTGATACTCTTAAATTTGGTATACACCCACTCAGATCTATCATTTTTCGCCTTCAATGTACTCTCCAAAATTTAGTTGGTTTCTGAATAAAAAATTTCTTTCTAACTTTGCCACAGTCTCCTCACTAGAAAATCCAAAAAGTAGGTGCAAAAGGTCAATATGTTTTTAGTCTTGCTACCATTCTTCCACAGTTAACATTACATTATACTATAATTATTACTCTATGAATTTATTTCATAAAATAGTTATTCAGAGAAATTATATACTCGTATATGTCTATCAGTCTACAAGCCATTATTTTTGGGAAGAAATTCACACACGGTGTCAAGTGTCAACCAGAATGAATATTTTTTTCCATGTTTTTTTTACCTGCAAGGTGAAACGCTCTTTGTTTTTACCAAATAAATTTACTTTAAAGGGCGACATCATAAAAATCAAAACAGCTCACTCCAGTTTGTCATGCAAAAGGGCAATATTGGTGTTTGACGGTTTGACCCAGTCAAATTCTTTACCGAATTTCCTTCATTTGTTTAAGAATGAGTGTTTCTATTCTACATCTTGGGTGGATACCAATATCACATACTTTCTCGTATATTTTTTTTTATTTTAAAAACAAATACTTATTTAAGTTATAAAAAAATACTTATTTTAGTCATATGTAAGTCCATGATAAACATAAAATGTACCATAAATTTGCCTTTAAAGAATTAGGCCGCGTTTCGTTCGTTTAATCTGATTTGATTCAATTGGATCTGATCTGATCTTATAATAATAATAATAATAATAATAATAAAAGAAATAATAATAGGAATAGTAATAATAATAAGAATAAGAACAATAATAATAATAATAATAATAGAAATAATATAGTAATAAGAATAGTTATAATAATAACTGTAATAATAATACTAATAGTAATAGTAATAATAATAATAATATAAATAATAATAATAATCAAAATATCTATTTATCTCTTTTTGGCCTTTTAATACGCATTCACCCTTCTACCAAAAAGAAATAATATATCAATTTCTCGTTCACCCTTCTACCATTTTTGGCTTATAATATATCTGAATATCTATTTATCTCTTTTTTCTAAGCGAACACACGTCTATTAATTAACGGTTAAAATCGTTAGTGGACTTGTTAATAACTATGTTCAAAGTTCGTACATTTAATGCGTATTAAAATGCCAAAAAATTCCAACATTTACTAATATACAAAGGTAAAGTGAGAAAATGAATGGTGCATTTTCCCGCCAAAATGTACACGGCTATAGATGGGTCCGAAATAATGGCTAATGACATGGGTAATCGTGTAGCATGGGTAATGACTAATGACATGGGTAATCGTGTAGGGGTAATTCGAAGGGTCCCATCTGAAAAAGTAAATTTCACTTTATTGGTTATTGAAAAGGTCATTTCTTGCATTGATTGTTCGGTACCTTAGTTGGTGGCTTCTTCTCTTATTGATATGAAGGGCTTCTCTCTCATTCAATACCAAGGGCTTTTAGTGTGAAAAATTCTCTCACCAAATCTTGAAAAAATGACTTCAAACCAATTTTCTCATTCTTTGTGGACAAAGCTGGCAAACATTGAGAGGGGCCAAACTAGTCTTGCCATCCACATTCGAGCCATTCGCGCCTACGAAGTTACTTCGTTTGGTAGGATTGGAGAATCCTTTGAGGTCGTCTTCCATGACGATGAGGTTTCGTTTCTTATTTGTAATTTCTATTAACGATAAAATAAATCAATTTCACAAACTTTTTTATTAAATTACACTTGCTTCGATTGATATCTTTAATTCATATTATTTTTTTACACTGTCTCTATCTATTTAAACACATTATATGTTGCTTATACCGGGCTATGGATTTTAACTAACATTTGATGTTTTTTGTTTAAAAAAATAGATTGGTTCAAACGAGATGTTTGGGAGTGAAAGCAGTTCGTACAAATCCACGAAGGAGATACTGATTGAACAAGATGATCCAATCAAGAGGAGATTGTTTGACGAATCTTCAACAACCAAGTCCGAAAAAACGCTCAAATCAATCAAGGTGGAGAAATGAGAGGCAAATCGAGGATGTAGAATGTGCTTTTGCGTTGGGCGATTAAATGATTTTTGCAAATTTAGAAAATGCTATTCAGACACTAATCTCTCTTCCTGTCCTCTCAAATACTTAATTACAATTTTAATTGTGTACTAAAACTTTGTGCTACGTATAGTTGGCTTTTGTCCGTTCTTTATTTTGTTAAAACTCACTTTGTGCTAATTATTGTATTAATGTCATTTCTTTTACTTATTCCAAATATGTTGCGATGATATTTTGTTATATTATTATAATGGATATAAGGTTTCTATGGAAATAATGGATATGTCGGAATTAATTGTCGTTTCTATTGTTGAAACGTGAGAAATTAAATTTTACAATTCGAGAAATACTTAGTTCAAATGTGCATTTTTTAGTTTCTACGCTGGATTAAGGCTTCTATGTTTCTCAACAAATTAATTATTAAATAAATTTAGAGCAAAAACATTCATACATCAATTAATTACTCCCTCCGTCCGCCTAAGATGTTCTCATTTTGACTTTTGGTGGTTTTTAAGGAGAGTTGAAAAAAGGTGAAAGTTTACCATAATACCCTTAATGAAAAATGGGTGGAGTGTATTAAATGAGGTGGGTGAGGTGTAATAAATAAAGTAAGTGGGGGTAGTTGTGGTATTTTACTTGTTAAAAAATGAAATGAGAAGATCTATTGTGGACAAAGAAAAAGAGCTATTGGGAAGATCTATGGTGGACAGAGGGAGTATTAATTATACAAAAACAATGAGATTGAAAAACAAGTTAAAAAAATCAAAGGCAGATAATAGTGATCGGTGTGGCTATTTCCTTCGTTCTTTTAATTAGATTTATTATGTCGTAAACCGATTAATGTGTATTGGTTAATAAAATATGTGGGCTTGGATTAAGAAACATAGAGTCACGAACCCATTAATATGTAATAAATGTCCGAATCTTTTGATACGAAAAATCTTTTGAAAGGCGAAATTTTTTGAGGCTCTAGGTAAGGTACCGCCATTTTTTTATGTTTTTTATAGTTTTATCTAGAGCCACGAACCTATGAAGCAATAATTTAGGATTTGTCTAGAGCCACGAACCTATTAAAGACGTATTGAAAGGTGTTATCTACAACCACACAATTGCGAAGTATGTCCCAGCCTTGAAAGTTGTTTTATGGAGCCACGCACCTATGATGCAATATCTCTAGGTTAGATACTACAGGTTAGCGTGCTAACCTACATTAATAATGCATCATTACTCATGCGAAATTACTGCTACTTTCCATTCATTGTGCATCATTACTTATACCCTAAAAGAATTCAAAATTTGTTTATAAAACTTTTTATAAAACAATTCAAAATTTGTAAAGTTTATAGAAACATATAATAATCTTTATAAAGATGAACACTTTAATGACCTTTGGAAGTTTTTAAGATGTTTGTAATATTATATATATATATATATATATATATATATATATATATATATATATATATATATATATATATCCATTCGTGTGTTTCACATACAAAAACTTTCTCTGTAAAAATAAATGGATAAATGAAAATATTTATTTCAATAATATTTTTTTTATTGAATTAAAAATTCTCCACTTTGGATTTTTTGGGTAAACATTTGAAAACTTTGACCTCAATAAAAATAAAAATGATATTAGATAATGATATAAAAAAGTTATAACCGTGAATATACATATATACCCAATCAATACATTGCAATAAGTGAGAGCATTTATTAAGATGATGCGTTTGATGCTTGAGGCTACGGGGTAGAGAAAAACACACCAACTCACTACTATTGCATTTAAATCACTTAGCATTTAATGAGAGCATTTATTAATGAACGACTTGAGACTATTGGGAAAATAAACAATTCATTGGGCACAAGTCAATATATTTGCATTTAAATCATATTGCATTGAATTAGAACATTTATTGAAATCCCATTTGCAGACTATTGGAGAAGAGAGACACTCTACTTGCATTTATCACCATCCCTTAATAAATTTGAATATATGTTCTTCTTTAAGAACTAATGTAGAATCCATTAATTTTTATTTACTCTTCCACACCTATCATCCTCACTTTCTCCTCCAAAAGTTGGTACCGAAATCAAAACCTTAACAACCACCATTGGAGACTTATTTACTCTACCCAAAGGTATTTTTTCTTATTTAGTCAAACAACGCACGGGAAAGACTTATTTAGTCAAACAATACACGGGAAAATGGTCAACTATATGTTGCTGTCTCTCGAGTTATCAATCGACATGGTTTAAAGGTTTTGATTTGTAGTGATGACCTATCAACTTCAAATACAACAAAAAATGTAGTGTTCAAAGAAATATTTCAGACCTTTAATTTCGCTCCTTTGTTTGACTATTATTAACCAACATTACGATGTAATGTATAAAATCTTTATATTAAATACCATTTAACTCTGTTTTCTTATATACACGATTAATTTCATATATTAATCTCATTAACTGTTTCAAACTACTGACCGTGCATTGCACAGGTTAAAAAACTAGTAAGTACCAATGTTGGCAGATTTTGCCAGCAAGTTGCTGGTTAAGGGGTGACATCCCTTTGATGATTCTTGCGTGTCTAGCCCACACACTTTCTTGCACAATTGACACATAGTTTATTTCCGCTCCTTTAGAGCATTAGAAATGACAAGACAAAAATGAAATGTCACACGGTGACATGGACTATTTCAACCAATAAAAAATAACACAGTTACTGTGTGGCAAATGAATGGAGTGTTGTAACATACAGTGACAAGTCATTGTTTTTTTTATCTATTTTTGTACTTTTTAATGATTTTTAATTATCAAAAATTATTTTACACATTTGTTTTATTATTAAAATATGTCTACTTCTTTTAAAAAATATTTTTTCAAAAATTAAAAATATTAAAAATATTTAAAAAAATAAAAAATGAGGGAGTCATGCCTTGCACATGGGATGAAAAGTGGGGTGGAATGACCATGGAATACCATGATTTGAGTGGCATTTGCTGACATAGATAAGCAAGGCAAAGCATTGCCTTGCCATTGTAGTATTTCTTTATAAGAAGCATAATTAATGCATTTTTTTGTTAAAAATAGAAAAACAACCATATTTTGTTGAGAAATAGTTGCTAGTATTCTTGTACCAACCTTTGTACCATATCATTATCCTTGATAATAGCGTTCCAACGCATATGTTTAAAGGGTGTTTCGGGCTGTGTTTTTACGAAAATTTTGAAGTTTTGATTTGGCAAAACACATTTTTGAGCATTTGACAAAACTATTTCGGTTTTGAGCATTGATCCGATCTTATCAATTTAGATCTGATCACGTTTGATTTGATCTGATTTTAGTAAATCGATAATAATAAATAATAAAATGAAAAATAAATTAAACACGAAAGGGCCCTTAAACTTCAAAACTCTAAAAAGGACTCCAAAAGTGTTTATTAGCAAAATCAAGACAAAATACTTTTCAATTCTACTATTCTATTTTAACAATACACCACACCCAAAGATCCTCACATTTAAAGATAGATCTAACAAAAGTCTCGTTCGGCCCAAATGTATGAATTCAAAATGGATAAAGCTACTTGTACCCCAAATTTGTGTACCCCATTCGTACACCGCAGGTTTGTACCGACATTTTGTGTCGGTGTAAAACTAATTTTTATTAACGCACCAACACTTTATGTCTGTGTAAATTTTTGTTAACGCACCAACACTTGTGTCGGTGTAAACTATCAAAATGTTTGTGCATAACTGCGGTGTACAAATGAGGTACAAATTTTGGTGTAAATGTAGCATGGTCCATTCAAAATATAAGAAATCAAACCCAAATTGTCGTACCCAAAAAACATTAATCCAAAAGGAACCGGAATCAAAGATGACCCGTTGAATCTTTAGCTTTATGAATCTTTTCCGTGAGAGGAGGGAAAAGAAGGAAACGTTGGATGACCGGCAAACCCAAAGCTCTGAAAATGGATTCAAAGTTTTAGTGATAGAAACTTGAGAGAGATTTCGCCATTGTGACAGGTGTGTGTACCATTTCTGGTTGTTTTCTCTGTTCTCATTCTCAGCCTTTTTTCCCACCCCACTATATGTCTCTCCTTCCTTAGTGGGGTTTCTTCTTCTGTGTGGGGGGTTTTGAGCATTTTCTTGCCATCTTTATCCTTCCTTTTCTGTAGTTTCCTGTTCTGGGTATTTCTTGGGGTTCTTGATTTTTCTGGGATTTGGCATTTGTAGGGGAGAGTGTAGAGAGATTTGGGGTTTATTTCTTTGTGTGTGGGATTTTTGAGTTCTAGAGAAGTAATTGAACAGGAGTAACAAAGGACATGGCTGGAGGAGAAGGAGCGAAGAAGGCAGACGGGGGAGGAGAGAAGGAGAAGAAGGCAGATGATCCATTTGCACCACACAAGATCGAAGATCAAATGCCCAATCTTAAGTACTGCATTGTTAGCCCTCCTCCATGGCGTAATCCTCCGAACTCTCCCTTTTAAAGAAAACCCATTAATATTGTTCTTATTGCTGGGCTGTTTTTGCCTTTTAGAGAAATAAATCATGGATGTTGTTCAGGAACATGTTTTTCTCTCTTGTGATTGTGATTTCTTCCTTTGAGCTAGTTTCCTTCTTCATTGGATTATTTGGCTTAGACTCCGTACCCGTTTATGACCAAATGTTTCGATGTGGTTGCAGCTGAAGCCATATTACTTGGATTTCAGCACTATATCGTTATGCTCGGGACGACAGTACTCATCCCCACCATTCTGGTTCCTCAAATGGGAGGAGGAAAGGTTAGAATTGGGTTTCTCATGGTGTTTTTCGTCCACTTGATTGGAAGTTGATTTTTGTTTTCCCCTTTCCACTCAGGAAGAGAAAGCAAAGATGATCCAGACACTACTTTTTGTCTCTGGTTTGAACACACTGATTCAGACACTGTTTGGCACTCGCCTGCCTGCTGTTATTGGTGGCTCTTTTACTTTTGTGCCTGCAACACTTTCAATTGTCCTCTCCGGCCGGTATAATGGAATCCTGGATCCTAAAGAGGTCAGAAATTGCATGGTCTGGAAGTTTATCCTCTCATATACTTCTTGGTCTGGTAATCTGATTTTTCTGTGTTGCTTGAGCAGAAGTTTGAGAGGATAATGCGTTCGATTCAGGGATCACTAATGGTGGCCTCAACTCTTCAAATGGTTCTTGGTTTCAGTGGCATGTGGCGAATCGTGACAAGGCGAGTTAAAATCTCATTTTGGTCAAAGATTTATAGTACATGGAAAAGAACTTGGGTAGTAATGTATTAAGAGAAGAAAAACTTTTTCTCAACTTCAATTTGTCAAGCCATTCAATTGCTGAGTGACATATCATTGTTGTTTCCAATTTCAGGCTCTTAAGTCCAATTTCTGTTGTTCCTTTGGTAGCCCTATCAGGTTTTGGGCTATACGAGCTCGGTTTTCCTCTGGTATGCCATTTGGTATAAGTTTCACTTAGGATTTCATAGAAATGAAAACAGAAAACCAAAACTATATATGGTTGCATTCTTAAACTTATTTAACGTTTATATGTGTGTAGGTTGCAAGCTGTGTGGAAATTGGACTGCCACATCTCATCCTTCTCGTAATCCTT